CTAGATATAAGTTGTTGTATCTAAATCCATTGAATATCACTTGATTATCATCTACTTTGGATACAACAACCTCTTTCTCGGTGAACAAGCATTGGAAGCCAAGATCACATAATTGCCCAATGGATAGCAAGTTGAAGCTCAATGAAGCAACATAGAGCACATTGGAGATGGAATGATCATTTGATATTGCCACTTTGCCCAATCCTTTAACCTTGCCCTTTGAGTTATCTCCAAATGTTATTTTCTCTTGCCCATCTACCTCTTCATCTAGTGAGGTGAACATACGAGGATCACCGGTCATATGTTGAGTGCAACCACTATCAATAACCCAATGACTTCCACCGGTCTCGTAGTTCACCTACATACATGAGATTCAAACTTTAGGAATCCAAATTTGTTGAGGGCCCTTCACCTTCTCAACAAGTGACTTAGCCACCCAAATCTTCTTAGGTCTACTCTTGTTGGGGGGTCCTAAGAATATGACTTTCATCTTTCCACTAGAATCTTTTCTAAGCATGTAGTGAGCATTGAAAGCAAAGGGTCTAGCATGCTTGGGCAAGGGTTGTGGCGGTGGAGTTTGACACTCATGAGCAAAGTGGCCTTCTTGTCCACACTCAAAACATCTCTTTGGCTTTGGCTTTGGCTTTGATTGTTGTTGTTGAGCTTGAGCCTTCTTCTTCTCTACACTTGCCACATATCCAATCCCACTTCTATCCATCTTCGTGACGGTGTTCATGAGTAGCTCACTTTGGAGATGCTTGCCTCTAGCAAACTTGCTCAATCCCACCTTGAGATGCTCTTTCTCCATCTTGAGCTTCTTATTCTCTTCCTTGAGAACATCATTGTTCTTCTCTTCCTTGAGCTTCTTGTTTTCTTCTTTGAGCTTCTCATTCTCAAGGATCAACTCTTTGTCATGATCAAGAGTTTCTAGCACAATGGTGTTGTGGCTTTTCATCTCTTCAAGATCTTTCATGAGCTTCTCATTATCACTCTTGAGCTTGACATACTCATCATAGTCATTGCACTCAACTACTTGCTTGCCTTTGCTACTAGATCCATGCTCAATGCTTTCATCAATTAAATCATCACATGAAGTAGCTATATCAATCTTGACAACATGGTTAGTAGCATCATGTGGCTCATTTGGTAAAATTTCTTGAGCAATAACAAGAGTATCATGATTGATCTTAAGAGTAGTGTATTCATCTTTTAGCTTGTTGTGGCTACTGATGAGCTCATTGTGCACCCACTCAAGTTTATCATGTTTATCTTTAAGCTCTTTCTTAGAAGATTTGAGCTCCTTGAGTTTGGATGATATAGCATCATTAGTTTCTCTAAGCTCATCATTAGCCTTTTCCAATGTATCACACTTAGCTAAAAGTGAATCATTTTTAGCATCAAGCTTTTCATTTGTAGCTCTACTCTTTCTAATGATCTTAGTGTATTTTCTTAGTGTTTTGACAAGATCATCATATGTAGGTGAATCATCATCATCGCTATCGCTATCATCATCACTAGCTTGCTCATCATCACTACTATCATCACTCTTAGTTACCTTGCGTTCACCCTTGGCCATAAGGCATAGGTGTGTAGTGGATGATGGCGATGGTGGCGGTGAAGATGCAAGATCAATAGCAATGGCGGCCACCTTTTCATTGTCACTATCATCATCGGATGATCCACTTGATGAATCAATGTCCGTGAGCCAATCACCGACAATGTAGGCCTTTCCACTCTTCTTCTTCTCGTGGAAGTCCCTCTTCTTGCCATCTCTCTTCTTGTATGGCTTGTTCTTTTTCTTCTCATCTTCATCTTCATTGCTTGAGTCATCTTTCTTGCCCTTGTTCTTGTTCTTGAACTTGTCTTTCTTGGGCTTTGTGCATTGATGAGCTAGATGGCCAAGTTCGCCACAATTGTAGCAATCCATCTCGGAGATTGGCTTTCTTCTTGAGCTAGTGAAGAACTTCTTCTTCTTGCCATCAAACTTGATGCCACTCTTGTTTAGCTTCTTTAGCATCTTGGCGGTCTTCTTCACCATGAGAGCAAGACTTTCTTCATCATCTTCATCACTTGAGCTCTCATACTCAAGTCTTGCCTTGCCCTTATCTTGGCTAGCTTTGAATGCTAAGTCCTTCTCTTTCTTCTTTGTAGAGGATGAGCCATCTTGTGGCGTGATGTGCATGTACATCTCATGAGCATTGATCTTCCCCAAGATTTGTGTCAGTGTAGCGGCGGAAAGATCACCTTGATGTAGCACGGTCACAATATGCCCATATTTGTCAATGGGGAGGACACTCAAGATCTTTCTCACAACATCGGATGGTGACATTTGAGTGAGTCCAAGCCCATTGACTTCCTCTACAAGAACATTTAAACGAGAATACATCTCATTAGCACTTTCTTTGGGAAGCATCTCAAAAGAATTTAGCTTTTTAATCACAAGATGATAGTGTTCCTCACGCTCACTCTTAGTTCCCTCATGGAGCGCACAAACGTCCGACCATAGTGCATGGGCGTCTTTGTGGTTCCTTACATGGTTAAACACATCTTTGCAAAGGCCTCTAAAGATGGTGTTTCGAACCTTTGCATTCCATTTTTCATAGTTAACTTCATCGCCTTGTAAGTTAGTTGCATCCCGAGGTTTTGGGAAGCCTTGTGAGGCGGCTCTAAGAATACCAACGTCTAGAGTTTCTAAGTACGCCTCCATGCAGATTTTCCAATATGGAAAGTCATCTCCCTCAAAGATAGGAGGAGGTCCATCCCCATGAGACATCTTGCTCTAAGCGATTAAGCTTAAAAACGTGAGCATGAGGCTCCGATACCAATTGAAAGGATCAAGATGCCCAAGAGGGGGGGGGTGAATTGGGCTAATTTTAAACTCACTTGCAATAATCAAAACCTACGGATAGCCCAATTAACCCCTTGTGCCTAAAAAAGTGTTTCTATCAAACTAACGCACAAAGGACTTGCAACCTATGTTCCAAACTTACTCTAGCATGGCAATTCTATGAATGTAAAGACAAGTATTGAATTGCTCAAAGTAAATACTCAAAGTAAATGCTCAAAGTAAAGAGAGAGAGAGGAACGCGGCGATGTTTTGCCGAGGTATCGGAGAGTCGCCACTCTCCACTAGTCCTTGTTGGAGCACCCGCGCAAGGGTGTAGCTCCCCCTTGATCCGCGCAAGGATCAAGTGCTCTCTACGGATTGATTCTTCGACACTCCGTCACACTGAATCACCCAAAGCCGCTCACAACTTGAGTTGGGTCACCCACAAGCTCCGCCGGGTGATCACCAAGCTCCCAATCACCACCAAGCCATCTAGGTGCTGGCGATCACCAAGAGTAACAAGCACGAACTCTCACTTGACCACGCGAAGCCTAATGAGATGATGGATGCACACTTGGCTACTCTTGATTCACTAATGAGGCTACTCTCTTGGATTCTCAAATATCAATCACCTCACTAGGACCTTGCTCTTCTTGGCACTCACAAACATGTTTCTCAGCTGTTGGAATGAGCAAAAGTAACTCCACACACGAGTGGAGCTTCTATTTATAAGGCAGCCTGAAAAACGAACCCTTATGAGCTTCTGCGGGGTGACCGGACGCTCCGGTCATGTTGACCGGACGCTCCGGTCAGTTCAACCCGCAAACTAGTGGAAATGTGTTGACCGGACGATGGCAGGGTCCGGTCACCACTGACCGGACGTGTTCGGTCGCATGAAACCCTCACTGGATGCTTACTGGACTCGGCCGGATGCTGAACCCTCAGGGTCCGGTCAGTACTGACCGGACGCGTCTGGAACCTTATTGGAGTCAACCGGACGCTTCCTCTCAGCGTCCGGTCACTTAACCGATCCAGCGTCCGGTCACACCGAACGCTGTCTGCTGATCAAATGAACTGATCGGACCCTATGGCCAGCGTCCGGTCGCACCGGAGCCAGCGTCCGGTCAGCATTTGACCCTCCATTCACTTCCAACTCTCAAACATATGTGAATGAAGTTTGCTCCAAAGGATCTTAGACATTCATAGGAGCTACCTAGAGCTAGTTTTAACAAGTGTGCACCACACCTAACTCACTAGACTCATCTAGGTCAAGCTACCCGTTCATACCTCCCTTAATAGTACGGCCAAAGGAAAAAACAAAGTCCTAATCTACTCTAAGTGTCACTCTAACTCCAATCGACACTTAGAACTAGTCATCCTTAACCTTGTCGTCCATCCTTTGAAAACCGAAGCGATTTCCATCGTGGGGGCATGACCATCTCGATTGCCCATTTGATCTCCATTACCATGACCTAACTTAATTGCCTCTGCAAAACACACGTTAGTCATAGTAATATTGTATTGACATTAATCACCGAAATCCAACTAGGGGACTAGATGCTTTCAGGGTTAATTCGAACACTGCCATTGTAACTCTTCGAGTTTAGAAATATACCATTGCAATTCGTGATATTGTAAATATGCCATCGTAATTCCCGTGAAACGTGATTCATGCCATTAAGTAGCCTTTCAGGCGTTCGTATATGGCAACATGTTTAGTACGGCCCGTATTGCCCCTATCCAGTCGCCGCAGCACCTCTGCCGCACGTCGCATTGCCTGTAGCATCCGCTCCTTGGGCGGTACCGTGGCCAGCTGTCCAGCTGACCTGTATGTTGCATTGGATTGCCCAGCTGACCCGTCTAAACAAAGCATATGTCATAAAAAGGTCACATATAATTTGATAACAAGTTGAAAACTTCTGATAATTTGATAATAAGTTGAACACACTGAACAAAGCATATGCCATAAAAAGGTCACAGATAAGTTGATAACAAGTTCACATACTAGTGCCTGGACTTTAACTGACTACAAGTTCACTGGACTTTAACTGGATACAAAGTTCACATGACTTTAAATGGATACAAGTTCACAGGACTTTAACTGAACAAAGCACGGACTGATTAATAAAATTCAAAAGCACGGCCTGATTTCTAGTTCAAAAGCATGGCCTGATTACAGGTTCACAATCACAGCCTGATTACACACAGCAACCATCAAAAGCACTCGACATTAAGATTTAGGAATCAGTGACTTGAGCAGTGAGTTGGGTATTAAGGAACTGTGACAAGCTCGTGAGAACTCTAGGCTGTGGTGCGGCGGCAGCCTTCTGTTGCTTTTTCTTTACTGGAGTCTTCTTCTTCTTGGGCGTCTTCTTCCTTTTGGGACTCTTTTTCTTCTTTTGTGCTGCCTTCTTCTTCTTCACCTCTGACGGCCCAGCAGTGTCATCATCTTGTTGCCGTTTCCTGCATAGTATAGTGGTTAGCACTAGGTTCAGTACATAATGCACAAGAAATGCTTTGAGAATGAGTCACTAACCTCTTGTTCTGTGATCTGCCCCCAATTTCTCCATCGGAGTCAACCTCAGCAAATTTGCAAGTCTTGGCAAAGTGACCGAAGTCACCACACCTTTTGCACTTCACTTTTTTCTTGTTCGCTTTCCCTTCAAGGCAGCCCCTAATTCTCTGTACTCTTGGTCTGCCTGGTGGTCTTCCTAGCAAGGGTGGAAATATTGTGAACCCAAGATCCACCACAGGCCACTGTGTTCTGTCTAGAAAAGGCTCTACTCTTCCTTCATAAGCAGCCCTAAATCTTGGTACAGAATAATATTCATGCACATAGTCTTCTATTTTCATTCCCCTATTGGACAGTATCCAAGCTAATGCATGCTTGCAGGGCTTGCTTGTGAGCTGTCACTCTCTACATGAACATGAATGATGTTGGAGATCAACTGTGTGTCTCCTCTGATTGTTCCAGTTGTCCAGAAGTGTCACTTCAGCCACGTCTTCATCACTACTTGATACCTTAACCACTTTGAGATTATTGCTGATAGCATTCAACTCCTTCATGACATTAGGGAGTATACCATCACGCATTTCCCTAGCAATCTTCCTCCTCAAAAACCTCTTCTCCATGATGAGCTCTCTCAGGCCATCAACCAATTCGTGTAGCAGCAGTCCTTTCATGTGCCTGATCTGAGCATTAAAGCTCTCAGATACATTGTTGGTCAAGTAGTCACATTTACTCTTCTCTGAAAACCCACATCTGTACCACAGTCTGTTGTGATGCTGCTCCAGGAATTCTATGGCATCTGGTGCAACATCAAATATCTTCTGCATGTGCCACTTGAACAGCCCCTTTGTGTAGCTTCTTGTTGCTGGATACAAATGATCAGTGAAGACATCTCCCTGATAGTGCTTCATGAAATTTGAATACAAGTGCCTCATGCATTCTCTGTACTCAGCTTGCGGGAACACTGCAAAAATGGGTCCATCCCCAACAGTGGCCGATCAATAGAAAAATTTGAAAGTTAGTAGAAAATGGAAATGTATAAAAAATCTTTATAATGAGGGAACAATAGATAATTTTGAAATCATTAGATCAACTTTAACTTATGTAAATAATGTAAAAATCATGTCAAACAAAAAGCAAGCAGTCTAAACATAGTACACTTTGCCAGTCATACTACTTGATTTATGTACAAAATGTAGAGAATCAGTTCAGATTCTGAACTTTCCCTATTATGTATATTAGCTTTGCAAACAGGTTGACTCACATTAAGGAGAACCACAAGTTTCAGAAAAATGGCAGAGAGGGTCACAGGGAAGATGATCCAGCAAAGGGCCTAGCACACATCGTCAATGAAATCAAAGGGAAACACGAGCTAAAGTATGACACCATTATATTGGATAAGCTGTTCTTATTCATTTATTACAGATGACAAAAAAAATTCGAAAGTCATCTCTCTGACATGTTGTGTCAAACAACTCAGGTATGTGTATGTATGGCATGCCAATACTGGATACTGGGGTGGAGTCAGGCCAGGTGTAGCTGGAATGGAGCACTACGAATCAAAGATGCAGCAGCCTGTGTCATCACCAGGGGTTCAGAAAAACAAGCCCTGCGATGCTTTGGACAGCATAACGACCAATGGACTGGGCCTTGTGAACCCTGAGAAAGTATTCAGTTTCTACAATGAACTCCACTCGTATCTTGCATCTGCATGCTGGGATCGATGGGGTCAAGGTAGACGTGCAGAACATCCTTGAGATGCTGGGTGCTGGCCATGGGGGAAGGGTACTGCTAGCTAGAAAGTACCAGCAGGCTCTAGAAGCTTCCGTCGCTAGGAACTTCCCTGACAATGGCATCATATATGCATGAGCCACAACACTGACAACCTATACAGGTAAATAGCTTATGCTGAAATACCTTGAAAGCTTTTTTTAGCAAAATATCTTGAAAGCTTTCTTTGGTAAATCAAAGATGTTTATAAAAATCATGTCAAACAAAAAGCAATGAGTCATAAAAGATGTTTATTGCAGAAAGATTATAAACACAATATCTCTTCAAGTCTACAACTAACATTTTTAAATGGTGTAAATCAAAGCTTAAAACATCAGCTACTAGCTGCCTCTCTCATCTCGCAAAGCGTAGATGCTGCCCAATAGCCCAGCAGCGGTACCTCGCAATGCCCTCGTCTTCTTTGTATGTTCATGTACTTGCAAATACAGAGATTGGTGGATCCGCCCCTGATCCCCAACTACTCTAGTCATACCGAGGGAAGATTTTGCAAGAGTTAAGAGATTACCTGGCCTTGTTGCCAGCCATGGCCGACGAACTGCTCCCACACGGCTCGCCGGTCGCGGGGAAGTCTATCGTCTTGCTCAAATCGATGTGCAGACTTGGGGAATCAAATCTCCTTCACCACCACCACCTGCTCCAGGCACGAATCGCCGTCTGCACAGGTTGCACAGCCTCCGTCGAGCCTGCACAGCCTGCGCCGCCGCCACCGTCGAGCCGACTCGCCTGCGCCGCCGCCGACTCTGGTTGCTGGGTTAGGGTTTGGGGACGGAGAGAGAAGAGACGAGAGAAAGACCGAGAAAGAAAGCAAAGCAAGCCGCGAGCGACCTTGACTCCTCATGTAAGTCGGATGAGGCAAGGGCAATACGGGCCATACGAAAAATGTTTCCATATACGTACGCCTGCAAGGTGGGCCATAGGTCGTTGCAAACGTACTTAATGGCATGAATCACGTTTCACGGGAATTACAATGGCATATTTACAATATCACGAATTGTAATGATATATTTATAAACTCGAAGAGTTACAATGGCAGCATTCGAATCAACCCAAATTTCAAACGCTACCTTGGAAAATACTTGGTCAAAGGGGGAAAGAAAAGGCGGCGGTGGAACCATCTCCAATTATTACATCAGTGGGGTTCGACTTAATGTATCTTCCATCTAACCCATCGTGTCCTACCATTAGGGATGAAAACGGATCGGATACGGACGGATATCACTGATATTACATTTATTTTTATATTTCTGTCCAGATTCGGATTCGAATACAGATAGTGTCAACCATGTCGGATAGGATATGATTTAATATCGACATCATAAATATGCGATTTGAGGATTCGGATACGGATACGGTGTTGGATGTTGAATACCCGGACTCGGATATGGACAGATCTGAACCCCTCTAAACGGATTCGGTCTCGAATACGGTCGGAAAATATCCGTACCATTTTCACCCCTACCTACCATGCTTTTGAAGTGTGTGTTTGTGTAACGATGGAGTTTGTAGAATTATGAGCGTATTCAATTGGCGATCTTACAAAATGAAATCAACTCAGAAACTGTTCAATTACATAAGAACCCCAAAAATCAAATCTATTCCACGAGAAAATCAATGCTATTATCTCCGAAGAACCTCGAATCAAAATGGTTTTGACACCAAGGTCGACGAATCTACCAATGTTCCCTGAAGAAGGAAATTAGCATATCTGATTCACCACCAAAACGGTTTTGGTGTCAAGAACAATGAATTCGTCAATGTTAGCTGCAGAAGGAAATTAACCTATCTGATTCGAGATCAACCGACAAAAGGCAAGCCTATCTGATACGTAATCAACCGGCAAAAGGCAAAACCAGATCATGAATCAACCAGCAAAAGCCAAAACCCCATCGACCTGGCAACGACAAACGCAGAGATCTCTCACAAGTCGAGAGGGAGAGGGATTTCTGGACCGACCAATTTGGAAATACAGGTTGAGCAGGTGTTAGGGTTATACCCGGGCGCGTGCTGGGCCATGTAGGGCTGGTGCGCAGCGGCGTTGGCCACCACCCCCTCCGCGGCCATCGCCGCTCAATGGTGGCCGCAGGCCGCTCAATGGCGTCCGCCGTAGCCGCTATCGCCCCTCCATGGTGTCCGCCCACAGCAGCCGCCCCTCCACATGGACCGGCCGTGGCACAAGCGTCTTCTGCCTCTTCGGACTAACAGAGTCCTCATCCACCACCACACCACATGCACCACCACGCCCCACTAACAGTTAATGCTTTTATAAAAAATAAGTAGCGTGTTCGTGCGTTGCTACGGGATAGCTAATATTTTATACTAAAAACACACGGATCGCACGATAAGATAACAATACTATAAAAATTAAATATCAATATTAAAGTGACATTTAATCCAAAAAACAAAGTGTGTGAAATTAACACAAGTCACAGAGAGTGCGGCGTCGTAGGCTCACAAACTCTACTTTATAGATCTTTTCCGTGATGTGGCTAAGATAATGTTTTATATTGGTCGGAAGAAATCTCCGATATCTATTTCTCTCGTGCGCCAATAAATACCAATGTTGAATATCCGGACTCGGATACGGATAGATCTAAACCCTCTAAACGGATTTGGTCTCGGATACGGTCGAAAAATATCCGTACCGTTTTCACCCCTACTCATAACAATGCCTAAATAAATGGATTACAAATTACATCCACCAAGGTTCATATGCAATAGACAAATTACATCCGCAAGGTCCATAGCTCCAACAAGTTAGAAAATAATAATAAAAATCGAGAATTGAAAATTGAATTGTCTTAAGAACTAAAACAAACTAAAGCAGTTTTGCTGAGCCGCTAGTGGTCGTGCTTGTCTGAAATTAAACTACATGCTTATCAACAGTATTGGACGAAATGGTCTATTTAAATGGCCACATGATACACCGTATGTTTGAACAAACTGTATGAGTTTGATAGCTACTGCTCCAAGGCCCTGCAAATGGTAATATGTCAAAGAAAGTTAACCTTCCAAACTAACAAATATGCATTAAGGGAGAAAATACAAATAGTCTCTGTTAAAACTAGCAAAAAAATTAATTGCAGTAGGAGCCATTGGCTCCTCCTTATTCCTAAAAAAAAGTTTGAGACACATGTATATACAGGCTTTAGCAACAGGTTTTCTTTCACTTTGCTGGCAAACAGTGCAGCTAATAAAAAATAGATATGCAAGGTCCCTAGCTCCAACATGTTTTGCATGGAAACATTGCAGTTATGCTGACAACACCACGTGGCAACCATGACCTGCGAGCGCATACAACCATAGGAAAACAAATTATCCAGTCTAGTGATTCAGCATGTATGAGATGCAATAATTCAAGATAAAACTTATTCTTCTTTTTTTGCACTTCAGTAAGGTTCCATGTTGGCGGCTGGAAAATATGATCATAAGAGAAAAAACATAGCTACTTATGCATGACTCTGATGGCACTTGTGCACACAGGCAATCAAAATGTTTGGTTTGTTGGGCACTGCATTAAAAACTGCGGTGGTTGATTATACAGGATAAAACATTGAACAATGCAAGTGAATCGTTAAATGAAAACTGGACTTATTAGGACACTAAACTAACTTATTAAGACACATAACTACAGGCAATCACTTTAACCATATTTGTGTTAACAGCTCAATGACCTTGCAAACAAACCAAAACAATGGATCGGAACTCATGCTACGACATAATGGGCACCTTGTAACCCAGTATACTCAGATAGGATGCAGCTTAATATTGTCATCTGGGGCTTCGAGCATAGATGGAACTTTCTTCATTTATTTTTTGAACGATTGGGCATGACATGATTCAGATGTAATATAACCTCGAATTACCAGATGGAATTAACATATGGCATTACATATGATTCAGAGAAGCGTTGCATCATATATGATTCATGTATAAGATAACTTCGAATTTTTGACAGGCCAAATCACACGTTCAGTCTTAGACTACTACATAAAAATGGTCTAGGCCACTTCACTACACTAATCAGCTATATGCTTTC